CGACGACGACGACGACGACGACGCAAGCCCCTCAGTTCACACTCCTACCGAGCAGCCGTGCACACCGACCCCTATGCCTGAACCCAAGCTGCTAATAACCCCAACACCTTATATATACACACATATATATATATATATATATCTATACATATACACATGCATATACATATATATATATACACACACACATATATACTGACAATATCGAAAACCCTATGTAAACCCTAACCCGTTTGCGCTCTAAGCCTACAGCCCGAACTCCCCAAACTCAGCTCGAAGCAGAAGACGCTCCAGCGCTGCCACCTCGTCACAGAGGATGGAAGGAGAAAGGCCTTTAAGTCCTAAGCCCTAAACCTTTAGGCCCATTTTGGGAGCCGAATGACTCGGATATTTAGCGGTTTGGGGTTTCGGGTCAATGGCCAACGGTCAGGGTGAAGAAGTGCCGAGTAAGGGTCTGCTATTAATCCACGGCTTTCCTAAACCCTAAACCCTAAACCCTAAACCTTTGGCTTGCGGCACAGGGCTTTCCGGGCCCGGGCCTCAGAGTTCCCAGAGACTCCAATATCCTTGAATTAAGGAAAAAAACCTTAAATCATACTAGGGATCCTACCATAATGTAAGGTATATTCCTTAATTAAAGGAGTCTCTGGGTTTGAAATCTACAGACTAAACCCTAAACCCTAAACCCTAAACCCAGACTGTCGGATTGAGCCCGAAAGGCCCCCAAAATCCTGCTCCTGTGCGTCGAGCAGCCTGCAGCTTGGCATCCTCAACTCCCTGAGGTGTTCCCAGAGACTCGAAGATCCCTTAATTGAGGAATATACCTTAAATTATGGTAGGATCCCCTAATATGATTTAAGAAATTTGAGGTATATTCCTTAGTTTAAGGATATTGGAATCTCTGGGTTGTCACACCTTCTATTGGCTGTAATCAAAAGCAAGAGCAGCAACAAACCCTAAACCCTAAACCCGAAAGACTGTCAGTCAGGAGACTGACGACAAATGTCGCGAGGAAGGAGCGATGGGAATTTTTACGAACCTCATCGTCAGGAGGACTAAAGGCTCGTAGCAGCTGTGAAGACCGGAACCGTGACTCTGGGTTCTGAGAATGACGAGAGCAATTATAATGCTTACCAGCAGCAGTAACACTCATGATAATCACAACCATGCTACTCACCAATAGCAACTACATGTATCTGTACCTAAGGCAGATTCACTAGACTAGAGGCGTGCTGGATATGTACCTGTGTGAACTACGGAGGCCCTCTCGCCCCTTTTCCCCCTTCCCTCAACAACAGTGGGGCCTCATCGTCGTGTCCCAGCTGCCGCAGCGCTGCAGCAGCTACATATCCACTGCCTGCGCCGAGCAGAGCCGTCATATGTGGTTGTATCGAAATATTGTTTGAATAGAAGACCTTGCCAAGAGGTTGTGCTAGCATAAGACGTCGACAAACCGACAAGAGTGATTTGCCAGAATGTCTTCCATTGTGCTCGCCCGCAGGCGACGAGATGAAGCTCACCATAATGACCTTGACATCATCGCTGGGAGCGAGCACACTGCTTCCCGGGAGGACGTCCATCGCCGCGAGTCCTCTGCTTCTGCTTCTTTAGGCAACCGAGCTCAGCAAGTCTGCTGCGAGGAATAGAGCACGAAGTCCACCACAAATCGCCAGGTCGTCCTGGTCGCCTCGGCGCCTGTTGACAAACCAAGGCCCATGTTCAAACTTGAGGTAAGGCACAGTCTGCATTGAATGCTCCGCACTGAAGAAAGCTAGATCTGCACAAGCTTCGCTACACGCGTCCACTCCTTCAGACAATGCTTCCGAAGTAGCCGGCCCGATCAAAAGCCAGGAAAAAGTCCAAACCTTAGGATCCTTAACATGAGGAACCCGAACAGGACCGCGAAAAAACGCGGTGAAACCACCCAAAAAACTCTGGTACAGAACCACCTACAACCCCAAGTCTAAACCCCCAGGTACCTACTATATAGGGTACTAGAGCCCCTAAAGCCCTATATAGTAGGTACCTGGGGGGTTAGGGTTAGTCTAAACCCCATGAACACTTCCCAGGCGCACCCCAAGGCAGGTAGCAGACTTGCCCGGCCACGGGCGCAATTGCAGCGGCCGTCCTGGACGAAGAGCGACGGATGATTCGGACTTGGGGGTCTGTTTTTACGGATTTCTATAGGGCTACTACAAGGCTTCTACGGGGTTTTTATAAGGTGTTACAGGTTGTTATGACGGTGTATAGAGTTGTAGCGTGTTTTTTTATAGGGCTCCGATATGGGTTTCTGTAGGGGTTGCTACGAGGTGTCCGAAGGGGTTTCTATACCAGGGCTGCCATACGGGGTACTCTAAAGCATGCTACGGTAGGCGTCTCTGTACGCTTTGAGGCTTCGGGCTTTAAGGCTCAGTTAAGTAGGGCTTACGGCTCCTTCGGGATGAAAAATAAAAACTAGTCCCCACAATTTCTACAATATCTTTATAATTTCAATAATCTACAGCAAGGTGGTATGGTCGGGCTTATAGATCTCTTGTGAGAGCCACAGACAGAACACTCTAAGGACAATCAGGGTTTGAGTTTGGAGTGTAAGTTTCGGGTTTCGAGTTTCGGAGTTGTGGGGAATGCGGCTTCGTCGGCGTTCAGGATACTGCTTGGCATTGGGGTTGCTTCGTCATGTTCCTACCTTTAGAAGCCAGTGTAGTTCCTCTTGCTGATTGAACAGACTACATATTTAAGATTCTATAATTGAATGAAACCGTAAACAAGGGAACTGCAACGGAGACTATACGAAGATGCTGAAGAGATGTCGGATAGGTTCTCGCACGGCATGGGGTGCCTGCTGGACTGGTTTTTGCGCCCGATCCCACGTGTGGTCCTTTTCTGCATGTGCTGCAACTTTGCAAGCTCTGTGACGGTGCTCCCCGTCAAGGCATCCCCTCAGCTTGCATTTTCTGGCGATCGTGGACCCGTTCAAAGTCTCTGTCTCCTCCACTTGTCTTCCAATGCTGGAGATATTACAATACAGAGCTACGAACCTCTCCAACAGGAGCTTCTTTACCGTATCACTTCGTTGTTAGTCGCCTGGGCTACACTTTACGGATCATTCTTCTAAAACCACTTCCCAAGGAAGAGCGTCTCTGTTCGCGCGTGCCTTTAGAATCATGGGGTCTCCATTACCACGAGCCTCTTCTTCAACACCCCATAGGCTTAGCCTCCGACGAGGATCTCCGTCTTGAAAGGCCTGCAAGCACAAGAAAGGCCGGGTAAGAAGGCCCCACCAAAGCCCAGGACAATTCCCGTTCGGGGTGCTCTCTTGTGGCAGTGTCACCATCAGGCTCTAAACATGAGTATGACATGATGATCGTGATGACAAGCAAATGATACGAGTGTTGCTCGCAGGCTTTGAATGAACATCATCTTTCAGAAGAAGATAGGATGGGCAATCTTCAGTCGCATGGCAATGGTACTCTCTTCACGCGCACCTAGCCGCTGCAAACCACTCAACCCCAAATCGAGTTCGGAACAGTTCGAACCGCACAGTGTCTCCTCAAACACTTAAACTCACCGTGTGTATACGCACCAGCACCGTATAGATTAACGGATGGATGGATTGATGGATGGATGGATGGACAGATGGATAGATGGATGGATGGATAGACGGATGAACGGATGAACAGATGGATGGACGGACGGACGGAGGGATGGATGGAAGAACAGATGGATGGGCGGGTGGGTGTGTGGATGGATGGATGTATTTACAATGTCGGCTAGTATGTGCATGTGTGTCTGTGCAAACATCTTCGTAAGAATGTAAACAACTAGGTGAAGGCGAAACAAAGACACACACACACACACACACGCACGCCAAACACACGGAAGAACCATATACAGCAAGCACAGACACATGCACAAACAAACACACTCAATGAAGCGAATAATTAATTTAGAAATACATCATTGCATGAGCACAGCTCAAACTGCGAATGGAATAGACAACTTTATGAGTGATATGATATGTGTATATATGTATGTGTTTACGTTTTTGCTCATGCACTTAAGTATGTGTGTATGTATGTACATACCAATACACGCACACACATAACCTTACGTGCATACTGTAGATATCGATCTACAGGTGTATAATTGCTCGTACCGCTCTCTCCAAATATCTCTACCTATCTATGTATATATATATATATATACACACACATACATGCATACAAAGTGTTATGTAAATATCGTTATGCCAACACTATGTTGACTCCGGTTGATGTCAGTGAACGTGAAGCGCTGCCGACGACCCCGGGGCCGAGGCTCGGTGGGAGAGGACATCCGCCAGGGTGGCTTCGGTGTTGCAGCGCGAGCCCTGTGTTTCAGGGTTTAGGGCCTGCCTAGGGGTTTTAGGGTTTTGGGTTTCCTGGGTTTTAGGGTTTAGGGTTTCCTGCGTTTTAGGGTTTAGGGGTTTAGCTTAAACAAGCCCTTTTGGTCTCTTTATCTGCTCCAAATACTGCCTGATATAGCACTAATAAGGATCTCTACACACAGCCCCTTAAAACAGAAACCCCAAGTAAAGAGACCATCGACCTACATAAGTTTTAGCAGGTAGTGCACTTAGGGTTTAGGGTTCTTGAGTTCGTGCGGCTTTGGAGTTCGGTCCTAAAGTTTTAGGGTCCGGGGTTTAGGGTCTTTGGGGTTGAGGTTTTAGGGTCTAGGGTCTAGGGTTTAGGGTTCAGGGTGTTTGATTAGGGCAGGCATGCAGCGAGCTCTCAAAACTCGATGTCCGTGAATAGCTGCTACTTAGGGCCCACCTTTCGTGCTTTCTTAAACTCAAGCTGAGAAGCTGGAGAACAGAGAGTCTGAGGCTTCTTCCATATGACACCACAAGCTTTTAGGTCTCTAGGGGACCTTTGAGATTCTGCTACTCCGAGATAGAGCTTATGTTGGAGAGAGCTAGGGTTCGGCTGTCAAATCTAGGTTTCTACATGCTCGATCTCTTTGAAATGCGGGTAGACAGGCAGGGGCACACCCAAACACCAAACCCTGGAAGTGGCAAACCCTCTACTCAACGCATTTTTGAAGGTCCTGTCACTCTGCACTGCAATTGGGCCGCCCACCATAGGCATGGACATCAGGCGCTCGGAGTACTGGATCATGCCTCAGGCAATGGTGAACCTCTGAAACCACATCTGGCTTAGAGGCGTAATTAGAGTTCTGCTTAATGTAGGAGCCTTAATAAGCAGAACAGGGTTTTGGGGTATACCATACTATAATCATAATAAGGAATCCCCCAAAATAGTATTGGTAACTACCTAGGCCCTCATATTAGGGTTTAGGGGCATCGGCTCGAACCCGGCCTCCTGGATGGAAAAGAAGCAAGCACAGCTCATGCTTCGCGTTTCAATGAGTTTTAGATTTTAGAAGAGACCGGAGCATCGTAGACCCTGACTGGCGGAAGCAATGTTCTAAACGACCCCCTATACAACGGATCCATATGCTCAGAAAGCCCACAAATCTCACAGCAGTACGAGAAAAGCCCTTGCAGAAACTTCAGGGATCCTAAACCCTAAACCCTAAACCCTAAAAATGAGCCGGAATCGGTGCCGCGACATGGAAGCAGCCAGAGCCCTGAACCCTCCCACACTCCTACACCTTCGGCCCCAAGTCTCGGCAAGTCCGCAAAACCCTAAAACCATCTCAAAACCCCTCCGAGAAGCACAACAAAACTAGCTAAACAAGAGTCCTAAAGCCTAAACCCTTCTTTTGTTTCAACCAACCAAGATAGCCGGTGAAGTTCGAACGCGGAGGCCTTGCTTCACCGCGCTGTGGAGGGCTAAGAGCCAAGGAAGACCTCAGAGGTTGGAGTCTTGGGTTCACCTGTGGTTTAGGATGCTGGGTTTAGATTTTAAGGGTTGTAGGGTTTATGTGGGGTTTTAAGTGGGATATCTCGAACATTCTTGGGGCTGTTGCGGTCTCTGTCTTTTGTTGTGGATTTCGGGGGCCTTAAAGATTTCTGGTGATTTTATCTCTTGGGACTTGGCTGTGTCAAGGGCCAGTGGAGGTTCGGATTGTTTGGGACCTGGGGTTAGGGATTCTATCGAGTTCAGGATTCTGAAATTTCTGGATTTCGGGGTTTGGGGGTTTAGGACTTGAGGGAGGCCTAGGCTGCGAGTCTAAGGTTGGAAGACAATCGGGCGGAGGGTTCGTCGATGGTCCTGGCATTCCAGCACGTGTAGCACTCCTTACTACTGTGACTGCGACGACTGCTGCTGCTGCGATCGGTACTGTTGTTGGCGATTGTCCCAGTCGTGGGGCAAATGCACGGGGCAAATGCATGTTGCCATTCTCGCAGCCAAGCAATGCAACGCCAGGGATCCCAGCGTGCGAGGTCAGCGAGCGGGATCCGTGTGGATCGGGTCATGGGCCGTGGGTCCACCGTGCCCAAGACCCCGCCACACCTTGGAGAGCGATCGGAAGCCAAGAGACGCCCATGCGAATGCTTTGTCCTTGTAGGGCACTGTAGTGCATTGACAGGGTTGTCTGCTCTTGCTGGGTCCAGAGGGGGCTTGGCTCTTTTGTTTTGCACTGAGTTTGGTGGTTGCCTGATTGCATATGCCATATCCGACGTATAGCATGGAGAATAAAAACAAGAAGGATCTTCGGTTAACGAAAGCATCGTGAGCTGAAACTTAGACATGTGCTCGTCGACGGCGCAGTTCTCACCAATGTAGACGCAGACCTTGGCAGGGCAAAATACAAACAAGTGTAGTAACACTGTAGCACCCAAACACCGCAAGCTGGTCCGACTTCTAAGGTGGTCGCCTGCACACCCAGGCCTGGTCGCTCCACACAACAGGCAGCAATGGCCTCCCTGATCAAAGTTATCATTGCCTCGGCAGGGCATGACTGAGGAACTCGGGATACGCGTGATGACAATCACGATGATGGTGACTTCGCTAGAGCTAGCCTACTACGACCACGACAACATACGACAACAACGACGACAAAGACGGGGACGACGACGACTACTACGACTGCCGCTGCCACTCTCGCTGCCACTACCACTACCACTACCAAATTCTACTCTTATTCATACAATTACGACTCCGACGACAATGACGACGACAACAACGACAATCACGATAACGACGGTTGCCGACGCTGCTGCTGCTGCTGTGGCGGCGAATGCTGCGACCGTTGCCCTTAATTTCTACCTGTCCTACTGCTGACGGCAAAGGTAGAAACAACGACGACCGCTTTAATCGGCAAACGAAGTCCCACCACTCAGCCAAGCACCATGTGAGCTGCGCCGGCACGGGACCTGCAGGCAAACTCAGACCATGCAACTCGCAGACGGTCCATCATATAAGAACATATTGGTGCCTCCTGCCGCCTTAGCGACTGCCTAATGATTTGCGCTTCTGGCATGCAAGTATTCGGGTCTGTGTAAGTGTGTGTTGTTATTATAACTGAATGTATTTATCTGTGCTCAATATATATATATATATATGTATGCATACATACATACATACGTACATACATACATACGTACATACAGACAGACAGACAGTTAGACAGTTAGACAGACAGACAGACAGACAGACAGACAGGCAGGCAGGCAGACAGACAGACAGACAGACAGACCTACCTACCTACCTACCTACCTACCTACCTACCTACCTACCTACCTACCTCCCTACATGCATACTCACATACACACATACGCACATACGCACATACACGCATACACACATACATAGACATACATAGACATACACATACACATACACAGGCACATACACATGCACATACACATACATCTACATCTACATCTACACATACATATACCAAAAATACATATACATATACATATACATATACATATACATATACATATACATATACATATACATATACGTATACACATACATATACATAAACATACACATATACATATACATATACATATACATATACATATGGATGGGGTGGGATGTCGAATTTTGTCAAGAAGAAAAATTCACATGTATTCCTTTGCCGGGCGGGGCGAACGCCCGAGAAGCTTTGGAGGCAGATCCCGAAACCCACGTCTGCTGTTTGGATTTTGGGGCCAGGGCCCCCAGAACATGTCTGTGCAAAAACGCATCACCCCGGCTTGCGAAACGAATGGTCTCTTGCAGTGGCCGTCGGGCACAACATACTATCCATAGCATACTATAGCAAGGACTAATCCGATTAACTTTGGAGGCAGATCCCGAAACCCACGTCTGCTGTTTGGATTTTGGGGCCAAGGCCCCCAGAACATGTCTGCGGTGTAAAAACCTATCATCCCGCCTTGCGAATACGAGTGGCCTCGTGCAGTGGCCGTCTCGTACAGCATAATATCCATAGCATGTTATAGTAAGGTCTAGGCTAGATACTACGCTAGATTACACTATACTATGCTATGGTGTATCCCTTATGGGAAACCAGACCTCACTAACACATCCGAAAAACGTGTTGCCAACATCTGTGGCATCTGATGTCCAAGGCATACTCCATGACAGCCTCCAAGACGGTGTGCAGGTTGGAGCAGTCGAAAACCTGTCAGTCCATGACAGTTGGAGTTCGTTGGACTTGTCCATGAACAAGTCAAACAACAAACGCTGTGCATTCGCATCTTCCTTGCTGGAAACCGCAAAGTGTGTTGGAAAAAGCGCATCCGTGGACCAATGCGAGTCATGTGCACGCCCACGGAGCCAATCGCGCCACAACACCCCGTCGCGGCAGGTGGAGAAAGTCTAGTCCATCAGAAAAAAATGGAACTGCTTTTCCTTCAGCATCGCATCCACGCCTTCCGACTTCAACTCGAATGCAAGCTGAGCACTATCTGCAGTGCATATGAAATCCTCTTCAAAGACAAAGACACCAGCGGGAGGGTCCTTGGCAAAGTTCTGTAAGTCCAGACGGAACTGCGCCGAATTTTCTCCAGATGGCTTGCAAGAACCTCCCGGTCGCTGCACCTTGAGCTGCGTGGTTTTCGGACGCTCAGATGCAGGAACCCCAGATTGTCGCATAGCCTTCAGAGCATGCAACGGGGTGTGTGATTTTGCAAGCTCCTTGGTGTGCACCCGCTGTATCCTGGCAAGGTTCGGAGTGTCATTGTGCTCACCCCGACGTTCCACACACAAATGCTTCTCCGCAATCTGAAAAGCAGAACTGACGACTGCATCGTATGCATTTATCGCAACGAGCGACCACCGTCAGTAGAGTAGAGCTTGCCGTCAGCGTTTATGAAGGATCTTCTCGCTTGCAAGCCATCCTTGGAGCAGCACAACATGGGGCATACCTGCGTTGAATGCCCCTCCGCCGAAGACAGTTTGCATCGTCTTGTGCAAGACTGGCATGGCCATGCCCTGGCCAAGGTCCTCATGTCAAACACCACAAGTATCCTTGACAAACAGACGGAATGTCAAACACATAGGTTAGCAACCCTCGCGGATGTGGCACATAAATGTTCAGGGTCACCGCTTCAGCTGCTTCCACCGCCTGCCGGCAAAGTCAGATTGCCAGAGGAATGTTCATAAGCAGCAAGAATTGGCATGGAGGCTTCAGAGGCCGACGCTGCCGAGAGCGGCGTGAGCTCACAATGTGCAGGGTCCAAGGTTTGCACTTCAGGTGGCGCGAAGTCCTGCAATAACGAATCTTTTGAGGCGGAGAGCTGCAGTTCACGCGAACACCCGGAACGCCTGAGCTTCTGCAAAGTGCTGCTCAGCTTGCTCAGCGTGCGATTCTCGCTTTGGTCTTCCCAACAGCCACAACCTCATCTCATGACTTCAATTGAGGACTGCTAGTTACCTCGGCGGCAGCCGGTGCTCAGCACAGAGCTGTCCAGCACGAAAACAGCAGGCCGAAGACCTCACTGCAAAGTTGGAAGCGGTTACAGATACACTTGTTTCCGAGTCGCCCCTTGGACGGCCCTTTCGAGGGCTGCTGTCTTCCTCTTAAACCTTGTGGAATCCAAATAGCATAAGCCCTGCTGAGACGGAAACCTGGAAAGTTTAAACTCGAATTAAAACTCTGCAAGGACCAAAGACTGAGGATTTCAATTCGAAATTCAACGTTGCGGCGAGGACAACTTGAAGCTTTCCATTCGTATCTAAGCTGCAGTCGGATTAAAATCGAATAAAACCCTTGGGTTGGAAAGCGGCTTTGAATTCGAATTTAAAACCCTTCCCAACCCATGGGAGATTAAAACTGAATTTATGCCTTCGCCGCCGGAATGCATTAAATTCGAATCTAAGCCCTCCAGCCGGGCACCGGAACCCTACACAGAAAAGGCATAAGTTCGAATTTAAATTTACATTGAAATCGAAATTCTACCATAATCATATACATATGCATATACATATGCATACATACATATGCATACATGCATACATACATACATACATACATACATATGTACATATGTACATATGTACATATGTACATATGTATATATTTATATGTATGTATGTATGTATGTATGTAGGTATATAGGTAT